CGAATATTTCTAACATAGTGCACAAAAGAATTTCCGTAGAATAAAGACATCCTCGTCATTTTTATTAATACAATTTTTTGTAAAAATTCTTAAAAAATCACAGTTATAGTTCACTTAAGGAAGTAAAAAATGAGAAAAAAAGTAAATCATAAAAATAATAATAGTAATAGTAAGTAATAAAGAAAGTAAATGAGAAAAATTCGTAATACGATAGTGCTTTACGCGTTTTTCCCCGGGACAAGCGATATAAAGGTTCCTTATGTTATTCCAGAAAGTTGAGAATGAGAATCTTAAAATTGGATTGCCAAATCTTCATATATAAAACAAATTAGAGTTTGTTCGAACACTTATAACTGGAAACGGCTGGACCAACTTTCATGGTTTTCGATTTTTTGCAATTGTCTCCTTCGCTCCTGCTATTCGAAAGGATAATAAAATTAAAGAAAAGAAAATTCCAATATGATAATCTACATGGGTATCAAACATTTAATATTTATCCAGTCGATACGGTACTCTCTTCCCTCAAATTAAAGAACGTTATATTTAGTATGTTTAGTTATTAAGTTCCCTTAATGTAACATTTTGTCCAGGTCCGGCAACACCTGGACAAGGGACCGGAAGCCCAGAACCGACACAGATGGCAAAATATGGAGGAGGCCTTTACCCGTTACCGGGTACCCAACTAAAGAAACAATTATTTATTTAATATTACAACTATAACACTAACAATAAATTAATATTATATATAAAACTCAATATTAACACAGCTAAAGTAATGTTATTTAAGGTTGGCAATAAAAGGCTTTTTTAGGGCTTTGAATTATTTGTGGAAGTCCAGAGAAGGTTTAAACAGTGGAAAACATAAATAATAAGTATAGAAAAATACTAAAAACGTCTATATATATAAAAATCAATTGCTGTTCGTTAGTCTCGCTAAAACTCGAAAACGGCTGAACCGATTTGGCTAATTTTGGTCTTGAATTATTTGTGGAAGTCCAGAGAAGGTTTTAACAGTGGAAAACATAAATAATAAGTATAGAAAAATACTAAAAACGACAATTAAATTTTCCAATAAAATCTGTTCCTATGTCTTTTCAGAAATAAAGAAGTGTCTCTTGGATGTCATATATAGGTGTAGTTTGAGGTTGTCTTTGGTTTGTTTTAAAAAAATGTTGTATAACGTTTTGACACAAATATATTATGTAGGTGATACAAAGTTCACGAGTTCATCTAGTATTATATAAAATTCTCGTGTCACAATGTTCGTTCCCATACTCTTCCAAAACGGCTCGACCGATTATAATGAAACTTTTTATGCATATTCAGTAAGTCTGAATTTTTTTATTTTTTTATGATACATACAAAAATACGTATACAGCCATTAATTTCCACCCGTCTACGATCAACCCCTATTTTTTATAATTGTAGATAGTTGTTTTTATTGAACTAAAAAAATGTTTCCTAGAAATAATATAAATGGCAAAACAACGTTTGCCGGGTCGGCTAGTATAATATAATCTATTTATCGTTCCGTTTTGACACCATTTAAGGCTAAAAAGTACAAACGAGTCTAGAATTTTCTCCGTGAATACTTTCATCATCTTTAACTATCTTTTACATCACCCTTAGAAAAATCTATACTCTTAAAAAAATTACTGGCAGACCCAGGGGCCACCTCCCTGGAGCCTGGAGTAAATCATGAAATGATTTGGTTTTAAGTTCCACTACATTTGACTGTGTGAATGATAACTGCTGGCACAATGCTTTAAACCTTTTTAACTATGATATATTTATTAAAAGTAAAATTTAATCTTCTTGATATTGTCACATTCGAAGCAAAAAGATAAATATCGATTTCAGATAATGAAATGAAATTTAATAGTCTGACGTAGTCTGTATACTTACAATCGTATAAATTAATGCGAGTAAAATGAATACAGGCCATTTTTGTCACCTTACACTTTTTTCTAACGAAGAAAATAATAGTGCGGATTTTTAATTTAACTTAAATTTTATCGTTGTTTTTTATGATTTATGTTTAACACATTACTTCATTCAATGTTATCTGTATTTTAATTCTGCTCTACGCCCTTGACTTGTGAACTGTAAGTAAATGTAAATTTAGAATTAATTTAACATCTTTTCTGTTGACGTTCATAAGTGTACTTGGTTACCTATATGAACTAGGTTATTTAGAGTTTGAATTATATAATTGTCCGTTTGGTGGTACCAGATTTGCACCTTAGCAAGACGCTCAAGTTGTCGATTTCCATCACTGGGCGTAAGCTAAGCCCAAGCTAGACTTCTAAGTATGTCATTAAGTCAGCTAAGTAGACCATAATTCTCGACACTGAAAGAAACCGCAGCCCAAACGCGTAAATGCGGAACGCGCCTACCAAATCCTCGTCCATGTCCATGCGTTCAAAAGAAGGAATGGACCTCTCTGCAAGTACTCGACCCGATCTCCCCTAGATATTACTAAAAGCGAACGGCCCGGTTTGTAAAAAAAAAGCTTGACTTCTACTATGACGCCTGTGTCTGACTCCTTTATGTCAAAATCCATCATATAAATAGTTGGCGTACTGGAGTCAGGCGTCAGGCTTAGCGATAATTATCGCTATATAGACTGTAGAGTGTAGTGTTAAGTGTCAACATTAGGATTTAGGAGTGTTCAGTGTTGGCAGTTGGCAAAAAGATAAATGACGGCTGTTCAATATCAATAATTGTTTTGACGTATGACTTTAAAATTCAAATCTAAAAACAACTTGAAAATGAAGATGTTTTAAATAAAATATAATAAGTCAACTTTAAAATATATTTTTTTTATTCAGAATTGTTTGGGGCACTTATTTGCATTTTCCCGACTAAATATGTTTTTGTAGAAGACGGTGAAGTCATGTTTTCCCAAACTGCATTAGTTTCTATAAACTTTATACGGCTGTCCACATTTCGTCGGACATTTTTCTCTAGACCTAGAGCTTCAGAAGTTCTAACTGCATATTTACTGCAATGTAAAGAACCTCCTTGGACGTCTTACTTTGTTAAGGTAAAAGGTAGAATGAGTAGCTGCGGTTGTTGAAGTATGAAGCTTTTCTAGACCCTAACAGAAATTATTATACCAATTAACAAAAACTATACATACTTTGAACTTACAACTATCTTTATATGAATGAATCGCTGATAGTTAATATGCAATCTTAATTTTATTGTTTTTTCTAGTACAGTAGTGTAAAAGATGATCAATTTGGGATGTCAAACTTCAATTGGAAAGTTAATACCTCAAATTATCAAATTCTAAGGACAGGCTGTTTTCCATATATTAAATATCACTGCTCTAAGAAAATAGAAGAAGACTTAAATTTTTCGGACAAGTTCATGAGATTCATCAAAGTAGCCAACTTTGGTATGTATTCAAAATTATATTTACTTTATTGTCAAAGAAAGAACCCATTTAATTAATTCCACTACTAATGAATCTTATGATCATAATTATATATAATTATATTGAATGTTATATTTAAGTTTTCCATAACTTATGAATTTTATACTCAAAGTTCATATTATACTAATCTTAGCTTTGGCATTAATACTTTTTATTTATAACCATAATAATATATATAATATATTGTCTTCACTGTACAACCCTTCCGTGGATTCTAGGATCTTTCTTTCTTTATTTGTATTTCCCCATCCCAGATATTGATTAAAATATTTAGTTGACCATTTTTATTTTCATACAAATAAAGGCATGTTCTTGACCTGTGCTGCTATTTTATTTGGAATATAATTGTACTATCAAATAATGTTTTATATGTCTTAATCATTTTAGTAACTTACTTGCCGCATGCCAAACTTAAATTGATGCTATAATGCCATATTTAACTACAAAAAAATTAATATATGGAAAATTGCGACACTAGCCACATAACATTTTTCAGTCTTACAAATATGTAATTAATCTTGATTTTCATTGACAGTGGTACAATGCATGAATTAAATAACTGCACAATCAGCCATGTCAAACTAGCATGCAAATATTAAATTATTATTAAAAGCAGTTGCTTTTGCAAATTATTTCTTGTCATACTCTATGTATCTCAAAAGGTATAATCTTTAAACTTCCTCACATTATAGTGGCTTTTGAAATCTTATCACCTTCCCCTTTAAAGCATTTTATGGCAGTGTTCTATAATCTCATGTAATTAAATAGTTTGATTGCCATGGTTTGTTTGTTTTAGGTATTCCATGCCTACTCTATGGAATTGCAGCAACTCAGCTTATTCGTCACAAGGAAATTGTTTACACTGATAAAGGGCCTGTGACCATATATTTTTTGTTACCTGAACATAAGGGGTCACAGTATTGACTAAAATAAGTAAAAATATAGGCAAATGTATAAAATATGTATAAGGATAATTAGTTATAGTTTATATATCTAGTCACAGATTATAATATATAATTTGCTTGTTACAATTATTTTTGTCTTTCCTCTGCATTGATATATTAAAATCCTTCTACCAAAACTTATAGGTGAACATTTGTCACATGTGATGTCTGATGATGGCAAGCTTAGTTCTTTATATCATGGACCTAGTTACTGGTCTTGGTGAAACGACCACCACACCTATGATATGTTCAGACATAACACTGCTAAAAATTAGTAATTATATATACCTATATAGATTTATTGAGATGGCTCCTAAAACTAAATACGAAATCTCAAAACTGAATATATTTTACAGGTGAAATATAGGCGATGGCCGTTAGTTTTAGCCTGCAGGCTAACCCCGTAGTTTCAATGGTGATTCGAATTTGTGTCAATGTTGAGTTAACATGCTATAATAATGATTAAATTAGCACTTTGTTCAAAAGCCAAATATGTGTGCTTACTGGGTGTCTTTCTTGTGTATTAATAATAAAGCGCTAAAGATGGTGCAATCTGAAACTAATAACTATCTAATAAGTAATCATAATTTAATACTTGGCCACAGAGCCAAATACTATACAGGGTTGTCGGCTGTTGCACCACCACCACTGTATTCTTCGATAATTTTGCTATACCCTCCCTCGCGAGGGGGGTGTTTGAACTCGTTCGGGGCGTATGCCCCCTTCGGGTGGTGTGCTGGTTCGCGCTCTGCTAATACAGGGCGATGCGGGGGCGGGCTTTTATGAGGGCTACAGCGCGCGACTTGTGAGAACCGAGGAGCGACGCTCGACTCGCCTCGGTCGAACATCCCCTTTGCGAGCCGCGTGACGAACTTGTCGATGCACTCTATCCGCAGATCCCGCGCTATGGTGGCGTTAATCACGCGACGCGGGGACCCCACTACGCACAGTAAGGTTGTGTTTTGTACGGCGCGCAGTTTCTGGCGGTTGCACTCCTTGGTATTATATATCCTTGGTAGTACCTCGCCGGTGCCGCCTACGTTAGGGGAGGGCGCAAATGTTTGAAGCTCGAGCTTGGTGCGGATAGGTAGGTAGGAGTGGGCTAGCGTATACGCCGCCCACTTGGCTCTCCCTACTACCCTGGCGACGTGGTGACCACAAAATAGGTGACCGGTATCTTCCACGCCACGTCTCGATTCAGGAAGCGTAGGGGTGGTGGTAGCCTACCTTGGCCGAAGGCGATCGCCTGAGTTTTGGTCGGGTTCGCGGCGAATCTCTACTTGTTTAGCCACAATCGTAGGAGATCCAGAGCGCGTTGGATCTTCGCCGCAGCGTGCTTGGTGCTGAGCGATGTTATGGACCACCAGGTTTAAAGTGTCCGGTCTGTGGGCGGCTATCTTCAGGTAATAGGTGGCGGAGGCTGGTCCGCTCACTAGATAGCCGCGCCTCGGCATGGTGCAGAAGCTAGCTTAGTACGGTCAGGGTTTTAAATAATAGAAAATATAAATTACACTCTATATTATTAATAATTTACATATGTAATATTCTTACATATTATGTATATATGTATAATTGAGTTAAAATATGAGTTATAGTGAAAGGATGTTTACAGTAAAATTATTAAAAGTGTGTTTATGGTTGATACGAGGCGAAAGTCCAAATCTTAATGGTATTATTTTTAGTTGTACCTACACATTGTTCATTACCAGATAATATATATTAATTAATTAATTTAAATTAAAAATTTAATTTTAATTATTTTTTGAGAATGTCTGTGTTCCACAAGATTAAGTGCCAGTGATCATATTGATAGAGTCGAAGTAATTATATTTTTAGTGTGTGTGTAACATGTGAATAAACATTTCAATATAAAATGCTAAATTTTTCAAGCTCCTCGACTACGAGTATTACACATATACAAAATAACTACTGCTCTATCAAAGGACAAGTCTTCTGTCATAGTTAAGGGCAAACCTGGCACATTCTAGGCTCGTTCAGTATTAAATTATTAATATTAATGTTTTAAAAAAAATTCCTCAGCCATGACAGTCTAGATAACGTTGTTTTTATTGAAAGTCATTGTTACATTGCAGTAAATTGTTAAACAAAATTTATTTTACACGGTCCATACCCTTTTAAAAATACAACAAATTACGCATTAAATGAACATAATTAATAAGCAATTAATTATTGTTAATAGCTATGTACACTGATCTAATCAAAGTTATCGATACTGAAATCTCTTTTTAATAAAAGATGAATTTACATTGTTTAGTATCTACGAATTATACTTTAAGGAACATTGATACTGTGACTAATATTAGGCCTGTAACTTTAGTTTTTCTCTTGGTTAACTTAGACAATATTTAGTCCTGATAACAATAAGAAATACCTACCGACTGGTCAAGCTTAGATAATATTACTAATTTGCAATTTAAGTTTCGTTTAAACGCTCGAAATATGTTTATTAAAAAATAAAGAATAGTCAAAACTATAAAGTATACATCAGAACTATTGCTGTGAAAAAGTTACATTCAAAAAACTCATTTGATAACGTACTTAATCATAGCGGTAAAATGGGAATAAAATATTTGTATGGAATATTTAGTGCAAACCTGTGCACTTCAGATTTAACTTGGAAATATATTAATGCTTACGTCTTGCACGTCAAACACGTGCGTAGTAGAGCGTTCGTATGGTTGATACGGGTTATCATGTTTATCATTATTATAACATAAATATATATATGTCGCAGCCAACTAGCTTAATTAGCCGTTTAATTAACATCCTAGCCGTTTAACTAAATGGCCTGAAAGAGATTCAGCCGTAGCGTTTGTTACAACATTTAATAAACTGGCTGGCTAATGCTTAGGACATTCGTACGATAGAGTCATTATTTAGCAGAAATAAAAAAGAAAAACATATGAATTAAAAAAATATTTCTTTTAAAATTAAATTGCTTAAGTCAAATTCAGGGTTGGATTTAGAATTACGTCGCCCGAATTTGATGATACTGATTATATAGGTGTCTCGGGAGACCTTGATTGGAACATCTTAAATATATAGCAATAAATAGTACTATAAAACAATTACCTCGATTGTAAAATATAGACAAGTTTCCAAAAAATCCAAATAAAATAAACACAGAATCACATTCACGTTAACTTCAAATTAACGGATTTAATTTCTGACAAAATCTACATTCGAAATGGCGGTTTGCGTTTATATAATTAATAGGGATTTCACCTAAAATCTATGAACATGAAATTAGGTTAATTTCAATGGTGATTATTCTAAAACTTTTAATTATGATAAATATAAAAAATCGATTTTCATGCTAAAAATCAATCGATTAATTAAAAATCGATTTTTTATACAGAATGTCACATCTCTAATAACCAAAACAAAAGTAGAAAATGTACGGTTTATTTACGAATTTCAATACACAAAAATTTAAATATTTTTTAATACTTAGACGCAACTCCGGCAGCAAAAATCACTTGGAGGTGTTCCAATCGAGACACCTACATGATCAGTACCATCAAATTCGGGCGACATATTTCTAAATCGTTACCCAAATTCACATTATTATTATCATTAGTTTAATTGCTAGGCTGTTAATTGAACGGCTAATTAAGCTAGTTGGCTGCGACATACCTATATCTATATATATAAAAGAAAAATGGTCTTCGTTTGAGGCTCCTTCACGCCTAAACCACTGATCGTATCGACATGAAACTACCACCATTCGAGGCTATTTATTTATTAAATTCCAACGTTCCTTCATTTTTTTATTGCTGTTTTACTTTTTTATGAAAATTTATCCATACGGACTTCACCGCGGAAACATTCGGGGAGGCTTCCTAGAACCTCTAAACTCAAATCTGTTAAAAACTCGATTTTCGAAATATTTCAATTTTCTTAGGGGAAGTTAAAAAGAAGGATAGTAAAAATATGAAAAAAAATAAAATAATGAAACATAAAATTTATTTTAATTCGTCCAGCAAAGCGGGCGCGAAACGGCTAGTATAATATATAACCCTTATAAATCTTAATATTTACTATTTTGACCGTTGTTGCATATTTTTCTTAAGTTACATCTTGTAGTTAATACAAGGAAAATGCACACCATTTATATGTAGGTATGTATGTTATGTAATAATGAAAGTCATAATGACTTAGCTATTTTAATTAAGGGTAACCTCTCGGTCAGACCGCGATTGTTCAATTATGCTCTGCGCCCTCAAGATAAACAAATATATACATATAAATAGATAATAAATAATAAATAATAGGGTCCGTTTTCTTTCTTCATGTAATAATAAATATTATAAGTAAATCATTATTTTCCATGCTTTTGCAAAAATTAATTATATGACCAGTATAGAAGTAAGACTTTTTATTGTTTTCAGGACTAAATATTGTATAACCAAGAGAAAAATTGGGGGGGGGGGAAAAATAAAAAAAATAAAAAAGAAAATTAAACAAACTAACCAAGAGAAAAACTAAAGTAACTATTAAAGGCCTAATATTGGTCACAGGTTCAATGTTCCTTATCAATATAAATTAATTTGTAGATACTAAGCAATGTAAATTCATCTTTTATTTATTTGCTCATTGAAAATAGATTTCAGTATTATTATACTATCTATAACTTTCTTTAATTGTCTTTGCTATAACATAAGTTCGTGACAATTACGAAACAAAAAAAAAGAACATGGAGCCTATGGTTAGTGCTTTGATTAGATCAGTGTACTATATTAACAATAATTAATTTCTTATCAATTATGAACATTTAATGCGTAATTTGTTGTGTTTTTAAAAGGGTATGGACCGTGTAAAATAAATCGGGAATAATCAATTTTGTTCAACAATTTACTGTAATGCAACAATGACTTTCAATAAAAACAACGTTATCTAGACTATCATGGCTGAGGATTTTTTTTTAAACATTAATATTAATAATTTAATACTGAACGAGACGAGAATGTGCCAGGTTTGCCCTTAACTATGACAATAGACTTGTCCTTTGATAGAGCAATAGTTCTTTTGTATATGTGTAATACTCGTAGTCGAGGAGCTTGAAAAATTTAGCATTGAATATTGAAATGTTTATTCACATGTTAAACACACCCTAAAAATATTATCACTTCGATTATATCAAAATGATCACTGCACTAAATCTTGTGGAACACTGACATTCTCAAACAATAGCTAGGAGGATACTTTATATATTGGTAGTTAACAACGTGTTTTTAAAATAATACCATTAAGATTTGGACTTTCGACTCGTATCCATAAACAGGAAACACACTTTTAGTAATTTTACATCCTTTCACTATAATTCATATTTTAACGAATTATACATTTACATATGTAAATGATTGTTAATATAGAGTAAAATTTATATTTTCAATCATTTAAAATCCTCACCGTACTTATACAGTGGTACTACAGCCGACAATACTGTATGGGATAAGGCTCTGTTGCCAATTATTTATTTATTTACACTTCGTTACCTTATACAAAACATACATATAATAAAGAGCAGGTTACATTAGTTATTAGGCAATGGGCGGCCTTATTGGTAACAAGCAATTTCTTCCAAGCAATCTTAATATGAAACATTAAAAAAATAATCACCTACAGAGGGTATAGTACAAAAAGTGCATAAATAATTAACAAATACTCAAACTCAAAATAACATGTTGTAAACACTATTAACTAAAGTAAAATCTAAAGAAAAAACAAATAAATAAACAATAATATGTAAAAGCTAATCCAAGGGTTAATTGAGTCACAATTAATAGATAAATATAAGTAGTAGCTAATTACAAGTCAGAAGAAAAATCATCAATAAGAAGATTTTTAAATAAATTTAAAGACTGGGCTCGTCTGATATCAACCGTTCCAAAGCAGGATACTTTGCACAGTAAAGGAGGAGTGATATCTAGAATTCTGTTTTTGAGTAGGAGTTTCAAGAATTAGATTGTCTAGGGAACGCAAATCAAAACCACCGCCAGAGACTCATACTCGACTCATTGGTCTAGTGGTTAGTACCCCCCTGACTGCGAATCCATGGGTCCCGGGTTCGATCCCCGGCTGAGACGAACATCGATGTGATGAGCATTTGGTGTTGTGCTTAGGTCTTGGGTGTTTAAATATGTATTTATATGTTTATCTATCTATAATATGTATGTATATCTGTTGCCTTGTACCCATAACACAAGCTTCACCAGCTTAACATGGGACTATGTCAATTGGTGTGAATTGTCTTTAAAAAAAAAAAGAGGAACATAAAATTTTGCTTTAAGTAACTTGGAGTTTTAGGATTAAAAAGAACATTAAAGAGAAGTTGTAAAATGTGCATCTCGCAATCGAATGGGTAGCCAATTAAGCTTTCTACGGAACTCCGAAATATGGTCAAATTAACAAAGTCCAAATATGAATCCAA